GCCCCCTTATTTAGGTATCTCAATTTAAAAGACTAAAATTCAGTTTCGTCACAGAATAAGTAATGAAAAATTCCGTGCTAGTGTTGCCACCTTATTAAAATCGCTGACCCGGACGGCAGGTGAGGTTTGTTCGAATAGAAGTTCCTGACGCATGCGTATGTCATTTTGCAATGCGAAGAATAATGTGCAGTGCATGCTGGTTCTAAATCAGTTACAGTTAGTGAGTAGGGAGACTTGGATAGGAGTAATGCAAGTGACTTAGCTGTATTGGATATTGGAGGTGTGTATATATATATATATATATACACGAATAAGTCGTACAAGCATAAAAAAAAAGGTCAACAGGTTGCGCCGGACGGCGAGTCGATTCCCGGACTATCCGGATGGATGGTAACACTATTCCGTGCTCATGTCAATCGGTCCGAGTCATAGGTGGACGAAAATATGAAATAAAATGGTTCAAATTCTTACAAGATATTATTATTTATTGTGAAATTTTGCCGCCCCCACTACGCTACGCTACTGCTTGGAGAACGTGCCTCCCTTTTCGTCTCAGTTGCCCCTTTCCTAATTCCTAAGGGGTTTCAAACAACAGAAAATTCGTGACTTCTAGCCTATTCTAAATATAAAAGAAACTAATAAACGATATTTGAGCCATGTGCAACTTCGTCGTATGTTGACCAAAACACCATTCCTTGTTTTCAAGGCCAAATTAGACCCGAATGCAACCTGCGCCAGCTTTTTGGAGCGCTGATCCGACGTTGAATCATATAGTTCGAAGCTCCCTGTATAAAGTACGATACCTTTTTTATAGCTTGTGTCCCCCTATTCTTAGTCTGCGGACGCTACTGATTGTGAGTGTAATTGCGTATTCCGGTTGAAACCATTGGGTTAAGGTGACAGCCTACTGTTTCGGGAAACTCGGATCGAAATCAGACGAGTCAAACATTTCCAGGAACTTTTTGCAAAGTAATCTTTTTCGTATATGTCGGACCCCGTCCGTCACCATCCGATCGCTTCGTTGTGGGCTCGACGGATTTAATAACACGTCCTGTTAGTTCATACAGGGCAGAGAGCTCAAATAAAACAAAAAAAAAAAAAAATCTATCATCATTCACGATATATGAAAATCTATCTTATTACTAAATTAATATTAATACAAATCATTAATGAAATAAATCAATTATATTTTATTTAAGACACGCATTACTTCAATATAATTTTACTTAATATTTATTAACGTCATTAATATTTCCCATGGCAACACTTAAGTGCAGTGTGTTGAGTTGTACAGACGATTCGTGTGAAATTTGAATTTACAGTAACATGTGTAAGCGAATTAGTAAATATTTGTTATGGTATGCACACGAGCATTCAAAGTTTAGATTAGCGGTAAGCGAATAGATTTTTTTTTTAATCTAATAATAATGAACATTAATCTGATTTCAAATTAAACTTCATTTTTTTTCCCTAGTAATTCTAGTCTTTCTAGTCCATCCTCAGTAGTGAATGCTAAAACTATTGTGACAAATGTAGTGTTAGAATTTGTTGGGTCGATTTCACACCATGACCATCTGGCTGACCTGACTGATCCAACAATTGGATTAACCGATAGCAAAAGCATTTGCATTGGCTGCGTTTGGCAGAGTCGACAGTTGTAACAGAGTGAAGGTGTTTCGGTCAGTAGCTGTTATGTAGTTATGTCTGTGCCGAACGACGAATGACGTATGTGTTGGAACAAACCAGCCGTCATTGGTCAGTTTTGGGTAGTGTAAATGAAAGACGCTACTAAATGTAACTTCAAAATACCAAATGTATTCTGAAATGGCGCTACCGTAAAGGGCATTCGGCAGAAAAGTACTCGAAGGCTCCGGAACCGTTGAGTCTGCCAAACGTAGCTGTCAAATACACTTATTTTGGTGGTCTGTTTGTCACAACTGATAGGAACGAGTGTTGCAAATCGAAACACTGGCCAGTTATTGTAATTTTTTAAAAAATATCTTTGTAATCTGCCTGACTAATATTGTATATTCACAGATTTTTATCAATGACTCTGAAAAGTCTATTTTTTTCTGATCTTTCTTGTTACGTAGGTTTATCGTCAATCCAATGTCTTATTGGCTGAAGCTCTACTGATCTGACTCGACTACAGATATTTAATTTTTTAAATATGGTAGGTCTTCTACTAGTAGTATTGGAATCAAAGGATATACTGGTCTTTGAGCTATGCTGTAAAGTACAGTTAATTTGTCAAGTAGCCAATAGCTGGCACTAGAGTTGCATTAGGGCGAGAAGTTGTTGGTTTATCTATGTGGTTAGTAGGTAGTTTTACTGTTTTTAAGCATCTTTATAACTTTTTTCTACTGTTCTATCAAAAAAATCTTATTCATAATTACATTTTTTAATTTTATACCGTGTATAAAGAAATAAAAAGTATATTTGGTTTATAAAAAATTAATACAGTAGAACCTCGAAAACTCGGCTCTCGATAACCCGGCACTCAGGATAACTCGGCCACACCCTGGCAGGGCAAAAAAATCTTTAGTTAATTAATTTTCATTATAGACAGCTTTATAAAAGTATAAAAGCTCTCATAAAGTATTTTTCTGAGGTCTGTCTTATCAGGTAAATTACTGTACACAGTGTATTCATTAATTTTCATTTTCATGTAGTAAAGGCTCTATGCTTTCATAAAGGATGTACTTTTCCTTTGTTTAAGGGTATTTGGGCAGTTTATTCTCTGTTATATTCTCAAGTAAACAATACATACAAGTACAGTACAGTATTTTCTGAGGAAACACTTGTACTTATTTTTTTTACCCCATTTCCGATAACCCGGCATTTTCACAAACTCGGCCACCTTTCGGTCCACATTAGGCCGAGTTTTCGAGGTTCTACTGTAAGATGATAATTTGAATTACAGATGAGGATGTGGGTAAATCGAAAATAATTACAGTATTTACTTGCATATAAGACGATCTCACATATAGTACGAGGTGTGACTTTAAAGATAAAGAAAATTAGATTTATTAATACAATTCTAATTATTTTGTTTAATCACAAAAAAATATTAAATGCACGTAAATGCACCATTGTTCTACAAAAATTACTGGCATTTTAAACTTTAAGGAAAAATCTTGTAAAGTCGACAACATAATTTGTTCATGAAAAGCTGGACAATTGGAAATCTTTTTTGCCAATTCTTAACAGTTGAATCCACTCTCTGTCGATTACAGTTATGAGTTTCTCCAAATTCTGAAATTGGAATTCAATTCAAAAGCTTTGCTTTTCCTATTGCTATTCACCTTTACTCCTGACAATACACAAGAACGATTCAAACGACACAGATAAAATACTTTTGTTTTTAAACACAAGAGGTGAATACACAGGTCACAAAAATTATTTAAAAAAACGCAAAAAATAGGGGTGGCAAACCTATGGCACATGTGCCCAAAGTGGCACGTCTGAGAAAGCATCTGGCACGTAACATCATACAATTTCAGTTTATCCTTTTTGTTCAATCAGCTTCTTTACTTTTACTGTAATTAAAGCATATTCATTTTATTTATTTAATCATAGATGTCTGAAATCCAGAACATTGGCATGCATGAACATTTTTAAAGATAAAACGCTTACTATATGGCACGTGGACTGAAAAAGGTTTGCCATCCCTGGTCTAATAAATTTAAAGTTTAAAATTGTGAAAATGACAGTTAATAGAAATATAAATATTAATGACATTTATGAATAAATAATATTCAAAACTGGATTAAAACAGTATTTATAAGCAGTCCTTTAAAAAAGAGAAAAGAAATATCTGAGTTAAAAATGAGAAAATTTCATATATTAAAAGAATTTTGGATGTTTGCAGCTGACTCTCCCTATGCTCAAGCCAAACTTACACTGTGAAATGATCAAAGCGCGTGGCAGAAATATTTATTACTCCCTTATTGTAGCATTAGAGCTATTGGCAGAACTAATATATGTATCGAGTCAAACAACCTATTGTCATGGCAACACAACTTGGAATCAATCTAATTTGGTTGGTTTAGTGTGAAATTGCCCTTACACATTTCTGAAGATGGGCTGGAAAACTCAAAAGTAGTAACTTTAATTAAAAAAAAATATATATTTTACTAAGGTTTAAATGATGTTTCCATATTTAGGGGCAGAAGGCTTCAATTAACTATATAAGAATTTCCGATGCAAACCAGAAATCATGTTATTTCAGTTCAAAAGTTTCCCCAAAAGGTGTTAGATTGATGACCGACACAACTCTATTGTTAAAGGAAAAGTACAATGTACAGGGGCAAGGCATTACTAATTTGAGGTGGAGAGAATATATTTTAAATTAAATAAATTAAAAATATGTTCAAAAATTGCAGCCTGACATTGTGACAATATCACAATAAATAATTGCTAGTTATTTATACTTACAAGTAACAAAGGAACAAAATAACATCTTAAAAAAGAAGTAAGAGAGGAAAAATTTAAGAAGTACTATATATTCATATCTTTGAAGGTTGGCTTTTACTTTCCCAAATGTTTTATAACAAGACTGTAATCCTGTCACATATGACCCTCCAGGTTTTTGGAATATTCATATTTTGAGATCAAAAGATCTCAAAACATAAAGATTCCTAAGTCAGAATGATTTTTATTTTTTCTATATACTTGATGACTTGAAAATTGTATCAATAGGAAAATCAATTTGAGAATTGTTTACATGCTAATGAATTTAAACTAATTTTTATGAAATAAAGTTTTTTTGAAGACAATATCATGCCTTCTATATTTATATCTTAGGCTTTGCATTTTATTTATTATTATTTATGCTGTTAATCATTATTTACAATTACAGTTGAAAAAGTAATTTTATTTCTTTTGTAGGAAATAAACTCTATAGCATCAATGTTTGATATTAAATTATCGTGGATTGAAGAACCATCAGAACAGGTAGTTTAAAATATTCTAATTTACATATTTATTAGTTTAAAAAAGTTTCAAAACTAAAGAAATAGCTATGAATATACTATAGCGTTAAATATATAAGGATTGCCCAATTGAAAAATGGACACATCATATTTCATCGTGCATAGTAGCAGTTGGTGTGTCACCTTACAGGCAAGTATGCTCAATGTAGGTGAAGCACAGGCTGCATTAAGTACAGATGTCCCTTGATAATCTGACAGGTATGGGACCAAAGGCGTGTCGGATTACCAAAAGTGTCCAGATTACTGAAAGTGATTACATATTTGGTATTGTTTTGCTAGCAGTAGCCTACAATATTCCCTACTCCAACTGTTCAAACAGAACTGCTCACGGAAAACACACGAAATATGTGTCATTGTGTAAAAATTGGGTGGGGAGATTCATATTGCAACATGCTTCTGTGCAAGCAGACACGTAACGGGGACAGGGACTACGGTGACCTTGATGGGAAGTGCATCGGACTACTGAGCATGTCGGATTAAAAAACGTTGGACTATCAAGGGACAGCTGTATTAACGAGAATAGAGTTTAGCTCCAATAATTGGCAGATTAATGTTAAGTTAGTTATGATGGAAGCATCCAGAATCAAACAATGGGTGGTAGTTTGGTTTTTAGTGGCTGAAGGGAACAGGAGTGCTGACATCTATAGATGAATGAAGCATATTTATGGTGAACATTGTTTAGGATGAACAGCCGTGAATAATTGGTGCAATACTTACAGAGAAGGCTGCAAGTCAATTCCAGATAAATTAAGACCAGGTCAGGCACACTCCATAATCTCCACTGCATCAATTGCTGCATGGATGACATAATCAAAACTGGCGATGAGTTACAACTTTCACATTTTCGAACCTCTCAAGAAAGCTTTGTGAGGATGATGAGGTGATGGATAGGGTCGAAGAATTTTTTGCCAGCAACCACCAGAGTTCTCTGCTAGGAGCATCTGTCTGCTTGTGACATGATGGGATCTTTGCCTAAACAAACATGGAGATTTCTTTTAGATTTGCAATAAATGTTTGCCAGTTATAATGTATTTTCACTTTTCATTTGGGCAACCCTTATACATTTAATTACAACTTGCTTTTTTACATCATTATATTCATTGCATTTATAATGTTAGTAGAGAAAGTAAAAATATTGATATATATATATCAATATTTTTTCTTTCTCTACTGATATATATTTACATATATATATATATCAGTAGAGAAAGTAATATAGATATATATACAGTAATACTCTGAACTTACGCAATAGGTGGGACCGAGCGATAACTGTGTAAGTCCAGGTATAATTTCATATATAAATACATACAAATAATTTTTAATTGGGGCCTTAGAGTAAAGAAAACAATAACTTAGAAAAAAAAAAAGTTTAATAAAATCTTAGATAATACATATGTATAACAAATTATATTATTATACAATTTTTCACATTTACTTGATTATCATACTATAATTTTAATATTGTTTCCATCTCAGCAATAATACCGTCACGTTTGCAAATGATGCTTGAATGTAAAGATTGAGCATTTTTCACAGCTTTGAGAATTTTTTCTTTACCTTTTATAATTGTTCTGACCGTCGATTCTGGTAAATCAAACTTCTTTGCCAAATCACAAATTTTCATTTTTGTATTGAAGTCTTTAATAATGTTAACTTTACATTCCAAAGATAAAGTTTTTCTTTTCTTGTATGATGCAGAAGAATCAGTTCTACTTTGTTTGGATGACATAGTAGAGTCTCTTAAGTCTCCGTAGATATAACAAACACAGAAATAAATAACACAAAATAAATTGTAGCTATGCGTCGATTCTGCACAACATGTCCGAACATGTAAGCTGAACAATAGTGTGGAGGAGTGAGTAATTAAGAGTTGCGTGGCGCTCAAACAAAAGATGAATCGATGAGATTTGAAAATCGCATAACTCCGGGTTTGTGTAAGTCGAGGTATTACTGTAATTGTAAAATAAATTAATAAAATGTACTTACTTACCATATATGCATTTCATATTGCTGTAAGTAAGAATTAATAGAAGTTTTAATAATTGTTGTAATCTTTGAAGTTCCTTATGGTTCTTCATATAAGATTAAGGACCATAACAGTTTAAAATTATAACATTCTTTGTTGAAAAAATATAACATTAGTCAGCACAGTTTATAAATTCAAAACAAATATGACATGAGAAAATACCACTCAGAAAAGAATGAGTATGTAGTCTACTCTTAGTAATTTGAACCTGTGTTAATCTTCTATTTAAGCTAAACTAATTTCTTTTTTACAGACATTTTCCTTTTTACTATTTTTATAAGATTAACAATAAATTTTATTAGATTTTGAATTATATTTTATAAATATATCAATGAGAGTAAAATATAAAAGACCATGTATTAATTTATTCTTTATTCTTTACTAGCAAAGTTCCTGGTGTTGCCCAGGAAATTTTTGATATTGTATTCTTGATTCAAAAATAAAAACAAATGAAAAATCAAATTTTGAGGCAAATAGACCAAACATTCATTTGAAAGTTTGCACCTTGGAAAACTTTCATATGTATGTTTTGTGCTTGCTAAGAATGTAATACTAAATGGTATGGAATGGTGCGGTTTCATTGGTCAGGTGGATAGCAATTGATGTTTTTCAACACAAAAATAATTATTGACTTCTGCCTGCATGTGAAGATAATTCAAGACATTCAAATTTTTTCTATTGTTAAATCTAACCTACTATATGTAGCTAAATATTAAATGGTAATTGGCCAACCTCTCAAATTTCACAAAAAAATGTACCAAATATTTAAACTAGGCATTTTCAAAACTCCTACAAAATATTTTGTATTTGCTTGTAACTTTGTATTAAGTAATTTTCTTATTCAAATGTTACCATCCTGCTTGCTACCACTTGAAAGAAGTCGAATAGTTGATGAGTTGAAATTAGCCATCACAAGTTAATCACAAGAAAATCAGTGTTAATCCTTTGATAAGTAGGTTTACCAGTGGCTTCCTTTCCTTCCAGAGTGAGTTAGTTTTTGAACAAGACACAGTTTTTCTGTCCAAAAACAAACTAAGAATTGAGTGGAAGTGCTACCAAATCAATAATAATATTTTGGGAGAGTCATCTATGATGATAACTTGCCTCTTTTTGTTGTATCTCTCACCTCTTGAAAATTGAAACCCTTTTAGTTTATATGTTCTACAGTTATGTTTATGTACAGTACATTTATATTTTTACTTATTTAGTTTGTTCTACATTTTAGTCAAACATTTTGTACATTATTTTTTGAAAATTGCTACGTTCCATTTCTGAATTACTGTAAAGAAACAATTCCATGTTCTATTTACAATCTTTCACCTGAAGACAATGACAAATATGCTATGTCAAAAGTACTAGTGTTTATATTTAAATAAACAATTCTTTTCAAGTTTAACAGTCTTGTCAACCAAATTTTGATATACTGTATCTAGTATATATATTTTAAAAATTTTTGTAAAAAATTTGATAAATATCTAAAAGTATTAAAGATAAAAAAATAAAATAAATAGAATAAATGTTACTAATGTGATATTTTTTATTTTAGCCATTTTGTTTATTCCATCTTTCATCTGAAAGTGATGCAAGAAAAATAATGTCAAGATGTGTTTTGGGAAAGTAAGTTATGTTTATTTATTTATAAAATCATGCTCTTATAATTAATTCATTTTATATTTTCACTACATTTTTTTTGTTATACAAAATAAATTTAGAAACAATTAATTTTGTGAGATTTTATATTTTATTGGTTCATTTGATAAAAGAATGTTTGGATGTAATTTTTTAAAGAAAAGATTGGAAAATTTTAAGTGACAATTATGTTCCCAAGAAATAATATATACAAATAATCCAATAATTAATTTAAATATTCAAGCAAACAGCCAGATTCTTTAGTGGGCTACTATAAGACTAATTAATTATTAAGAAAGTAAGCAGTTTGACTGGAGGTAAGTAGTTCAGCTGCCATCTCATGTTAAATTTAAGAATTAGAAATAAGTAAATGCAATTTACAACATATTCTGGAAGAAAAGATTGGCATGGAGTGGAACTTGAAGCAGCAACTGCAACTTACTATGCAGGTGCATTGCCAATTATGTTAACCAAATCGCTATCTGATCTTGNAACTAAAGTTACTAAGATGTGGGACCTTCTTAACCAAGTTCTACTATATATGAAATTAAATTATTATATTAATGAGAATAATACTTTACTAAGCAAATTTCTCAATATATTTATAAGTAAATATAATAAACTTTTTTGATGCAGGAGAACAATAATTCCCATATTTTATATTAATTTTTACGTCAAAAACAAACCTTACAATCAATGAGCTGACTTTTTAATTTTGTTCAAATATTTTTAACGAGTAATATCTTATCATCTTCAGCAACTTACATTGATTTTAAATTGAATAGCATTTTTCAAATTTTACATTTTAAGCACTAACTGTTTAATATTCCATTAACATAAATATTAATAGAATGTTCTTTTTAAAATGTAACATTTAAAAAATGCCATTTTATTACTAATATAAAAGCTGTCGTTCCACTTACCTTGCAATAACGTCAGTTATTGCAATGTAAGTGGAATGACAGCTTTTATATTCATTTTTGGATTAAATTATCAACATGGAATTAAAATGATTTGCTATTTTGTCAAAAAAAGGAGGCCTAGGGAAAAGCGTAAGAGTAAAATTGGTCAGGTGAATTCTAGATTTAAAAGAATAAGAACAACTAAGACCTCCAAAGGCCGTGGAGTTCGACTTGAGCAACATTGAGTAAGAATGGCTTAGTCAAGGACTGCAGAAACAGCATTACGTCAAGCTCTTTTCAATTCTTCAATCTCTACTCTCTCATAAAAAATATTCTGTCAAGCTTGACGGGAGAATTTCTAGTTTAGAATATAAAGTAAGTCACTGAAGACGAGAAGATAATACAACTCAGAAATGTTTCAACAAAATTAAAAAGTTGCTTCCTTGATCGAATGTTTGTTTTTGGTATGAAAATTTATCATAAATTGAGTCTTGTAGTATTTTTAACTAAATTTTTTTCTATTAAGATAATTTACATTAAAAACAAATAAAATATAATATGTAAATGTATTGTTGAAAATTTTTATTATTCTATTTGATTATGTTACTTATTATTATTATAAATGTTTATAACTTACTATAGGCACAATACTCAAAATCTGATCAATCCTTTAGAATTCGGATTGAAAGCTTTGGAAAGAAATTGAGAAAAGATGAAAAGTTAGAGAAAATAGAAGTAAGTTTTGAAAATTATATTTTATTGATGCTTTTGATAACATTTCATTGATAAAAAGTTGTAAAAAATTTCCATACTGTTAATAGTTTGCATTATAACATCTTTCTTGATTTCTTACTGATGTTTATGGTGTAATTTTTCTATTAATGTATATTGATTCTTGTTTTAGTTTTATTCTTATAAAATCAGTGACATAGATATTCAATTTAAAATTATTTACTTTACACAGTATGGAAGAATAATATGCTAAAGAAGAAAGATTGAAATTTAATGCTATAATAGTATTCTTTTAATTATCTTGATAAATTGCAAACAACTATCTGAAAACAAAATTGTATCAATTAATTATCAGAACAGAAATAACAGATGCAAATTATGAAATAGAATTTTACATAATTTCATTTTAATTATTAATATTATTATATCACTTATTTATGACTTAAAAATATTATAATTCTAAGAGAGAAAGATTCAGTTCAGAGATATTACATTCTAAAAAAATCCAGCAATGAGTAGCTTAACTTTCTTGGTAGCATTTAAAAGTTTGGTGGCATTATCTGTTATGAAGTTTTATTAAAAGCTTTTTATATTTTTAATTTTTCTCCGTTGTGTGTCGCTTTGCATTGGATTTTCATTGACATTAAGCCTAATGAAAGTTTTTTAAAATAATAATCATGGCTATTGTATCATTAAAAATTATTTCTTTATTTTGCACAAACAAAGTAAATATATTGAAAAATATAAAAACAAAAAAATTATATTTTGGAAGTTAATCTAGTATCAAAAACATTCTGATTCGGCACGACACACGTCCCGACACACAGTCCTCAGAAAAACACCACACAAAACAGGCAAAACTCTTTCTTTCTCTTGGGTTTATCTGGAGATGTCAGCCACTTGGGCTATATCCTCCAACGAGCTGAAGCAAAACACACCACTCACGATGCGAGGTCCTAGAATATAGCTCACAATGGGGAAAAGAAGCCTCATTCAAATACTGGCACGTCCTTAAGTATCCTCTCGATGTGTATGAATTGGAACATTTTTGATAGTAGATTAACTTCCAAAATATAATTTTTTTTGTTTTTATATTTTTCAATATGTTTATTTTGTTTGTGCAGAATAAAGAAATAATTTTTAACTATACAATATGGTAGTAAAGTGCTGCCAGCTAAAACACGCACACCAACAAAAATAATATTGAAGATATAGCCAAAGATTGCAGTGCCAAAGCACTAGTGGAAATTTGAATTTCCTGACTGGAACACTTTTGGTTAACTGATGTTTTGGTTGATAGGTATTTGGATAATCGATGCTCTACTGTATTATGAATTGGTAAAAAGCTTAATTTTGGAGGAAGGGGTGGGTTTTATAAAAAAAAAATTGTAAATGCTAAAAACTAGTAAAGTCATTAAGTCCGACCTTATTCGAGATGCAACATGACTCCTTTTTATCTCCCCACTCTGTTGATCTTAACCACCAAAATTTAATAGCATTAATCTCCCTAATACATAAACCCTCCCGCAAGATTTTAGAAATTTTTGACAAAAAGCACACGAATTATTAAGCTTTAAACAGGGTGAACAAAATTGTGCCCACACAAACACTAACATTCATACCTACAGAAAAACCCGAATATTTTGCATTTCTTGAGGTTTCAAGGTCTTCTGAAGACCAGAAGACCTGAAGTATCGAGAAGTGCAAAAATGTAAAAATCTTACCAGTCATTTTTGATCGATTGCCATACTTTTCTTATGTTATATATAACAGAGTCAGGAAAGTAAAATTAATATGCCAATAATGTGTGAATAAAATGAGTTTTTCTGGGTACGTCTCTTGACATTTCAAGGTCCCGAGTTCCAAAAATGTAAAAATCTTGGGGAGTCATTTTTTTGACCAATTACCATACTTTCCCTCTATTATAATAGAGCCAGAAAAATAGTTACTATACTTTTGAAAATGACTTTGGTATTATATTTTAAAGTGTTTCAATCTACTTTTACTTGAAATAGTGTATCCGTAATGATATATAATTGTAATCAGATCATTAAAACATCTTTGTCATATATAACATTTATTAATAATTTAGTCACTGTTGATTAACATGTTTTTTATTTCTCTAACAATAGCTTAAATATTTTTTCTTTAACATTTTTAAACCAATTGAAAACACTGCTTAAAACAGCAATTTTTTACATCACTGATACTGAAATGCATTTTAGATCAATGATTCAAACAAGTTAATAAAAGAATTGCTGTTTTAAACATTTCATTAACATGTAACTTGTACATTTTCTTAGAGCCCATGCTTGGTAAATGCTCAGCCTCAGTGCCTTGAAAAGGCCCTGCATTTATATCTTGCACTGGGCTTATATATGCAAAATATGAAACCAGTTGTGTATGTAATTAAGTTAGAAAATGAATGAAAAGTTAATCCAACAAATAAAATACAGGTATCCTCTACTTTACAAGAGACTTACAATAGTACTTGTTTTTGCTAACAGAAAGAAATTCAAAGAGGATTTCACTTTTACAGAAAAAAATGAAAAGCAAAAATAGCATTTAGTGTTTGTTTTTCAGTGAGCCATTTTAGAGGCACTATGCACTTTAAACAGTGAGAGGTGTTTCTAAACTTTTTCCCTGGAAACTACACTCAGCATCTCAGCATCAATCTACCATAGCTTTGAACTTTGTGAGCATCTACACTTTATCATGATTTGTGCATCCATTAGTAAAATGTGTACTTAGGTACAAAAAGCTCTTAGGACATGTTTGGTAGGTTAATTTTGGGTCTAGGAACTTAAAAAATGAATGGTAATTGCTTCTTTACTTTATGCCAGTTTGGCTTATGAAAGGTTTCATAGTAATGCTCTACATTTGGATAATGAAGGAACCTATATTTATTTTCTTTTTAATAAAAAAATTTAATGTTTTTCTTCTATAATAAAGTCCAAGTTACCTATAATCTGCCAAAAATCTCTGTAAATCGTAAGAGTCTAGTAATTTCTCCTTGCGTGCATTAGCTTTAGCAGTCAGTTGAGTCCATTCTTCATTGATTTCACTTTGTTTTGTGTATATTGTTTCGGCAGCTTCTGGGTGAGTTTGCATCAGTCGACTAGCAGTATCATCTAATTGACGAATCTGAAAACAAATTGAACATTAAATTTTCTTACACCATTTAATACTACTACAGGTAACCCCCGTATAACATGGCACTTCTACAGCACGGATTCGCTCTAACACGGTTCGAGAATTGGTACCATCCCCCGTATAACACGGTACTTTTATAGCNATAAATTATTCTTTATAGGTATGTGACGGCCAAAGATCCATGATAAATAAATTTAACTTAAAACAACGAAAATTTATTGGTAATACTAGTATGGATCCAACATTATCTTTAATCATGGCAAATATGGCAAAAATTAAAAAAAATGATCTTGTTTTAGATCCATTTGTTGGATCAGGTAATAAATTTTGAACTGTTACTTGTTTAAATGATTATCCAAGTTTTAATCTTTACGTAGTTATGTTATTATATAATACTTTGCAATAATAATGTTAGATTAACTAGTTTATATTAGCTCAAACTAAGACTAATCTCTAACTTCCACAAATATCCAACATATGCTTTATTGGAGAACCAGTTGAACATGATCAGCATATAACAAGTCCTGAGTACTTTCAAATCTTTTGATTCATCATCAGGGATGCTTCTTATTCTGAATTTAACCTCCAGTGATAAGTTTTTGGATATTTGTATTGGTTCATTTTGAATTACAATGAATATATAGAAGATTTTTAATCTGTTATCTATGGAACTAGAATAGTAGCAGATTACTGGATGCTTTTGTATTTTCATAATAAGAGTGACTCAAATGATTAGCTTTGCTGTGGTGGGAAGCTTCTTTTATAAATGTTGCCACAGATGCAGTGTGGATCGAATTCTTGTCAAAAATCTGTAAACATCAGGTGATGCATTCAAATCTTATCCTGACTGATATTTGCACTAACTTGTTTAATGAGTTTGATATAAACACATGTTAAGTACAAGAATGCACAAGTGAGAGTATCTGACCTGACTCTCTCGAATGTCAATTTTGGATTATTGGTTACATTTTAGAGCAGGGGTGGCCAACAGTTTTTGCCCCCAGGCTGAATTGGAAAGAAAACTTTTTTCACGGGCCGAACCAGAGGCTGCCCTAGCAAGATTTTGAGGTGGTGAAAGATCTCATTGTGGTGTCACCCCATAGAGACTAAATTGTACATAGAGATTACAGATACATTTTATAATCAACATTCTACACTGTGCTGAAGACATTTGTAATGGAGTGTTAACTTTAATTGCACAGTTACTTGTTGACCTTATTTTTAGGCATCAGAATTTTTCATCGAGATATTCGGACTTAAGTAGCTAATATTTAAAGATTAATCACGGGCCACATAAATCCATTACACGGGCCACATCCGGCTCGCGGGCCATATGTTGGCCATGCCTGTTTTAGAGGGTGCTGGATTATTGAGTGTTAGATTAATGAACTTCTACTGTATTTTTATTCATCAGATTTGAAAATTTTGGATAAGAGTCAATTGTTTTAAAAGTTATTTCAGAAGCTTAATAATTCAGGATAAAATATTCAGTTAGATACTGCATTATTTAATAGGACTATACAAGATTTTGAGGACTAATAAATTAAGATTATCTGAATATAAAATTGTATATTTCTACATAATAGCTAAATNAATCCCCAAAAGAAAAAGTCTAAGGGCGTAATATCCGACGATCTAGGAGGTCACGGTATCGGTCCTCCGCGCCCAATCCAACAATTGGGAAACTGTGTGTCAACGTATACATTTTCTATACAATTCTATCTTTATTTGGCCATTTTCTACATAGTATTATACAATTAAATTAAAATATAATAGCTGTTTAGATTTATAACTGGTTGATTAGGACAATTATTTCACTCCTAAAATTGTTTTTATGATATCTATATATCCAAGATATTCTTTGACTGATGGATTTAACATAAAAAACTAAAATTAATATAAAGTAGTTATTATTTTATACAGTAAGACCTCATTTAGCACTTCCTCAATTAATACTGATTCGATATAACGTGGTCATTAATACTGATTCGATATAACGTGGTCTGTTTGAAGCCTAAAAAAAAAATAGCCCAAAGTTTATACCTATTCAAATTATCACTGCATTTCATTGTATATAATAAGATTATTCCCGAACACAAACTAATCAGCAAAAAGTGGCAATTCGTCATAGCACTGTACTTTCCTTAAATCTATGTTTATCTGGTGCAATTTTGAAAAAAATATAACATTATGGATGCCAGAGGCAATTTCGACTTCACTTGGCAAGAGTTAACTGATAAATGCATGAACAGTGTGTGGAAGTTATGGCTGGAGGTATCCAAGGATTCTCAATGAGAAGAGTCTATTGCAGAGTTGGAGAATGCAAAGAACAGGAATCATGGAGAAAGAAATAGAAAAATTAAAGTCTGAAATATGATATTTGAAAAAATGTAAAATGGAAGGCATAAAGAAGAGTCTATTGTTGATCGAATTGTCAACCTAATCAGTACAACAGGACGAGGAGATGTAGATGAGCAGGATATTGAGGAGTTACAGCAGGTTTCTGGTGAGAGCTTTACCAACGACAACCTTCAAGAATTGGCAGAACAAGGAATTCATGTAGAACTAGAAAATAGTGATTCTGAAAATGAAGAACCTAAAGAACTTGTTAGAGATTTCCTTAGTAAAAGTTTGGTAATGGTAACCAAAATCATTGATCAAATTGTGGCAAATGATCCAGATTTTGAAAGGAGTGCAAAAGCAAGATGAGGCAATTTGGATGCGACTCCTGCTACCAACATTTGCTTAACAAAAGAAAAAGAAAGCGACAAATGACACTAGATGAGTTCATCACAAAAAAATTAAGAATTTCAGAAGAACCAGGACCTTCATCACAAAAATGAACTTTATATTTCTGTGTGCATTTGTTTATGTTATGTAACATATATTATTATGCAAATTAATATAAAAATAACTTAAAATTAAAGTAAAATTTGTTTATTTTTGGTCGTATGTTTCCCTTTCTCTATTTACTGTGGGTTAAAATGACCTCGTTTAATACTGCTTTGTTGTCTAGAATATATCCTACGTGCTAAATGAGGTCTTACTGTATTTGTACTAAAATATTATTATTAGAAAATGTAATAAAATATTCAGAATATTAGTCTGATATGTTTTGCAAAATTAATTATCTTGAACTACAGGGTATCCACCATGAACTTGACACATTTGAAACTGTTGTAAAAAATCTACCGCTCAGGAAGGATGTAAAGTAATGCACATTTTATGATGAAAAACTCAAAGTGTTTTATTAAAAAAAAATCATTGAACCTCTACATGAGCTCCTTTTGTTGCATGTAGAACATCGAGGCTATACTCCATTTCCTACCAGGTTCTTTCAAGCATCTTGGGCATGACGGCAGCAACAGCATCGTGAATGTGCACAGGAAGATGTCGAAGGTCACAAATTTTGACACCGGTGTAAACCTTGTCCTTGACAAATCCCCAAAAGAAAAAGTCTAAGGGCGTAATATCCGACGATCTAGGAGGTCACGGTATCGGTCCTCCGCGCCCAATCCAACAATTGGGAAACTGAGCATCGAGGAAACATCGAACATGCAGGCTCCAATGTGGAGGGGCACTGTCCTGCTAGAAAATTTNTAAATAAATTAATGTAAGTTAAATATTAAAAACACTAACTATAAATGTATTTGGGTAAATGCCTGGGGCTCCTTTTAGAGTTCAGGGTAGGGTAACCCCCTATGAGTGCCTCTGCCCCCCATAAAATGACTTGGCATTTAATTTTGCCAGAGTCGATGGTTGGAGTTGGACTACTAAAATTATCAGGGAGTCAGAGTTGAGTGTTTTTTTACTGACTCCGCAGCCCTGGTTACTTTATTTCATACATTGTTTTTGATATTGGTCATACTTTATTTCATGCAAGTAGTGTAAGAAATATACTGTGTATTATTAAATGTAGTAATTGTGTGTGTAGTATATGAAATATAATAACAAAGCTTAATGAGTAGTAAATAATTTTATATCATAAACATAAAATAAATTGTTTTAGTTAAGTAAAGCTGTAATTACTTTTTTCTTATAAAAATAACAAAAAACTTAATATTTTAAGCTAAACCAACTCGATATAAACAGAAGAAGAGAGAACCCGATGAATGCATTAAGTCCAATTTAAAACAGTATAATCTCCAAGATCGTTATCTAGATGTTTTAGTTGCTGATGCTTCTCTACCCTTGTGGCGAAATCAGTCTTTAATAGATGCAGTTATTACAGATCGTAAGTTTTATACTATTTATCAAAGAAATGCAATTTAATAAAAATGAGTATTAAATGTTTTTTCTGTTTTGAAATAAGCACCTTATGGAATTCGGGAAGCATCTGAACGGATTGGGACCAAAAAAAATTATGTTATTCCCACTCATTTGTAAGTTTAATGTTTTATTTATTACAAAAATATTATTTTGTATTAAATATTCAATTTACTTACTATTTTTGTAGAATTGATGGTCATATTCCGTCAAAAATAACATACAGTTTACAAAATATAATTAAAGATTTGTTGAATCTATGCGCATTTTGTTTAACTTTGGGAGGACGTCTTGTATATTGGCTGCCAGTATTCAAGGAAGAGTAAGAGTGAAATTTTCTTATGTAAATAATAATTTTTTTGATAATGAGTTGTTTTAATCTATATATGTATAAATGAGGATATTTGTTCTCTATACACTCCTAGGCCATTCAACCAATTGCTATGAAACTTAGCAGTTACATTCACATACTTCTAACTATAATGTTGTACATCCCATCCTAAAATATCAATTGGATTTCTATAAATCAATTAATTTCTATCTACATTAGATTTGCTAGCTTTACACTTAGCACCATCTATTGGCAAAAAATTTAAGAAAATAATCAACTAAATATAATTCTTACAGAAAAGGATATAATTTAAAAAATATATATATTTTTTATGCACTTAATTGCTAAAATAGCCAAACTCATTATTTATTTTTAATGATGATTCATTATGTCAACTTAAAAAGTAACCTATCAACATTTGTTTGATAGGTTACTTTTTAAGTTCTCAAATATATTTATTTATTTTTGAAAGGTGTAAATGTATGATAAATAGCAATTTAGTCTTATAAAGAAAGAAAACATTTTTAAATATTATCTGGTTTATACATTAGACAAAATTGAAATGTAGAAATATTAAATGGAAATGTAGCATTTACTCAATTAAAATGTCTTCTTTTTCTTATCATAACTTTTTTCCACATAATTTAAGCCTTTTATAAATCTTTTAATTTTTATTAAAATAAACGTTTCAAAACTTTTTTCTTAGAATTAGATGTGAATGTTAAAGTTGTGGTATAAAATCACTATAATCATTATTATTTTGCCATTTTCTATTGTATATATTGTTTTATAAAATATATCATTAGCGAGATGCTAATATATGATACATTCAATTACCTTTCTTGTTTCTTGATTGTTATGAAATAAGGTAAAGTAATCTTGTTCAACACCTTTTTAGTATGAATTTTCAGAATAGATCTTGTGGGAAACTCAAATATGGTTATTCTTGAAAATAGATGTGAATGCAACAATAACAATTTTTTAAAACTTGTTTCATGCATGAGATAATATTTACTATTTTCAGGTGTTTGGAATCAGAGTCCGGAGGAATTTCTGGCCAGAAGAGTCAGAGTCAGGAAAACTGTGTCGACTCTGATTCTGGCATTTTAAATTTAATTTAGTTTTTTTATTTAAATGAAAGAAAATTTATTTTATATTTATAAATTTTTTAAAATGTNATTTAAGAAAATAATCAACTAAATATAATTCTTACAGAAAAGGATATAATTTAAAAAATATATATATTTTTTATGCACTTAATTGCTAAAATAGCCAAACTCTTTATATGGTTTTCGTTTTAATGTTTGTTATATTATAGTATTTGATTTATATAACTACAAAGGTTATCTTATGTAAGGATTTATCACACTGAGTGACTGATCTAACACATTTTAAAAATTCTTTATTCTTCTACTGTACACAATTTAAAAATTTTTTAAATGTGTTAGATTGGCTATGGTGTGATAAACCCTTATGTAAGATAACCTTTGTAAATGTAAATCAAATACTATAATATAATAAAAGGGTTAGAAGTATGAAATAATCTAATAATCTTAATCTTTGTTGTTATTTTTTGCCCAGGTGATGTTGGGTATCTGCTAGTATATTAATAAATACAATACAAATACTTGTTATATTTATTAGGAAATTTATTTTTCTACACAATTTAATGTTCTAGAATAGTATATGTAAGAATCAAATATTTAAAGTTTAAATCTATAGTTATATATATATATATAAACTGATCATAATATCTGAAAATATTTGGACTTAAATCCATTAAGTTTATATGGATGGCCAAATGGTAAGAATGCCAGTTTACTGCTGTGGTAGAGCTGGGTTTGATTCTGATTTAACTCTTACATAATTTATTATACAGTAGAGTCTTGAAAACTCGGCCTAATGTGGACCGAAGGGTGGCCGAGTTTGTGAAAATGCCGGGTTATCGGGAATGGGGTTAAAAAAAAATAAGTATGAGTGTTTTCTCAGAAAATACTGTACTGTACTTGTATCATTGTTTACTTGAGAATACAACAGAGAATAAACTGCCCAAATACCCTTAAACAAAGGAAAAGTATGTCCTTTATGAAGGCATAGAGCCTTTACTACATGAAAATGAAAATTAATGAATACACTGTGTACAGTAATTTACCTGATAAGACAGACCTCAGAAAAATACTTTATGAGACATAAAGTTGTCTATAATGAAAATTAATTAACTAAGGATTTTTTTTGCCCTGCCAGGGTGTGGCCGAGTTATCTGGACTGCCGGGTTATCGAGTGCTGAGTTTTCGAGACTCTACTGTATATAGTATGTGTTGGGCATTGTATATCATTTCCCATCTAGTTAGCCAGCCAATCCTACTGTAAGTTGGGCTTTTCAATAATAGATTAAACTAATGTTGACTCTATAATCATAATATTCTGTTTCCTGGCATTGACTAATTAGTCAGTTACTTCTGTAGCCTGTTTATTTTTAAAAATTCTGATATGAAATTTTTTTTGGATGAATTTATATATTTTTCTATTAGTTCTGTAGTTAATTTGCATTCTGATGTTCATGCATAGTACACACAAAAGAAAATATAGATTTAATTTATATATGTCTATAAGTTAAATTTAACTTGTAACTATTGAACTTAGTACAATATTGCTTCCTGACAGCATACTTTTAGCCCAAATTATATAATTGTCATGTTTAGCCCAAGAATAATCTGACTAGATCTTAAACTAAAAAGTTAAGACTTATGATTAAACATAGTGTATTTATTATATAGAAGAAGCTAATATTACAGATAGCCAAATGACCAAAACAGCAGCGATACTAGCACTGGAGAACAGGTTTGAATCTGGATAGAAATTTGGATAGTGTTGATGACTGAGGCAATAAAGGTACATTCTGCCACACTAGGAGACTTGTGTTTGAGTTTAAATTGGTTTAGAAATTTTCACGAGTAGGTTGACCCAGATATATTTAGTTCAGTCCCATCCAGCTGTCCATATTATAGTTCTTGCCATATCCATGTCCATCATGGATTTGGCAAGATCTACATAAATATGTCTTCTTAGTGCCCATAGAGTAGAGTTTAAAATATTAGTTTTGTTTTTAATTTTTAATGTCAATATATTGAAAATGGAAATAAGTAAATGTTAAATTTCTTCTAAAAAATGAAGAGTTTATATTTACAATAGCAAATAATATAAATCCAAGGAAATTTATGTCCTCCTTTCGTGATGGAATTTCAACAGTAAAAAAGTATTTACTTAACATTAAAAGAACTCTCATTATTGTGACAATATTTTTTAATAGTAAAGCATTTTCAATAAATTAGTCTACTTCACTGTATACATACATATTTTTGCATTTGTTTGAAGATATTACATTTTTAACAATAAATCATTTCTTTTGTTTAGATTATAATGAATTTTATAAATATGTACAAAATGATATTTTTCTTAAGTGCTGTAGACTAAGTTATGGATGTTACATTGTATGTATATGCATGCATATTTTTGTTTGTAGGAAAATGTTGTTTATCTAAAAATAATTTTTTTTGTAGTTTTAAAGAAGACTGTATTCCAAGCCATCCTTGCCTTGCATTGATCAGTTTTTGTGAACAGGTACTTACCAGTCATTCGTCCAGATATCTTATAACGATGGAAAAAATATCCGAACCCCAAGTAAGATTTGTTTACTTAATGATTTATTTAATATGTTTTTGCTAATTTACTATTAAGAGAAAGCTATGTATTAAATCAGACAATTACATATATATATATATATAACATAGTTTCCTTAAAATGTTGTTCAGTTGTAGATTAGATTATAAGGTTCTGTTCAGTAGTTAGTATTATTTAATGAAATTGAATGACTAACTGATTAATATTAGACACTAGTACATTTAGGTTATAATAAAACTGGCCATAATTATCTCCATTATGGGCAAAGGATGAAGGATAGTGCCCCAATTCATATTATCTATGATAAATCATGAAGATCTGGATCTGGCTAAAACCTAGATCACCCAGATCTTCTAATTGAACTAACAATTAGAAGAGAAAATTAATACTTTTCATATGGAAAATATCCACTGATAGTAATGGTAACTGTTTATTATTTAATTTGTGAGCATCCACAAACATTTATTTGTAGCAGAAATGTAGTGAAGTTGGAATTGCATTAATAAGAAATGTGCTCAGAAATCAAATATAGAGCAGTATAAAATAATAACGAATGTTTGGTCAGCATTTGCTATGCAGTTAAAAATTACTGAAAAGAAATGCATTGGTTATGTTATGAATTGTGACATCTGATTATGTAATACAATCTCCAATTCAAGCATAATTTTTATGCAAGAAACTGCTAATTTGACCATTTAAATTACAAACTGAAAGTAACTTATTATTTTTATTTAATAGATAAATAATTATATTTTAAACTTTTCTTTAAAACAATATAAATTGATGATAAATAATATGCTATTCAACAAAATTATACTATATATATATATATATATATAGTCTGTACAGACCTGGAAATGGAAAGTCAGAAAGTCAAGGGATCCATTTGTTGCTCTTGCTACTTTTTGGTTCTGAACAAGTCTTTAAATTCACTTCAATATAAGGAGGTGTATGAAAACTGGAGTGACCAAACAAACAGCAACATTTGTTGCGCTTGCATCTCATAAACTATAATGATAATCTAACAATTTAAATTTTGTTGGATAGAAGGTGTGTGTTTATATTTAAAATGGTGGGTAGTGATAGTGTGCAGCTATGCGGGGGGTAGCAGTTGCACACGAACACCAAAAATGGTGATGCAGTGTGGCATTTGGGCAGTGAACTTTGGATGGCGAAGAGATAGGACATTGAAATTTGTATTGATTTGTACAGAATGATAGGATCTACAATATTATTTAGCAACAATAACCAATAAAATAGAATTTGTAAAGTTATAAGCCAATAACCGTGTGGATTGAAGAAAATTTTCATAATGTCGAAGAAATTGCAAAGGAAATACAAACAGAAATGTAAATAATTTATATCATTGGAAAGAAAAATTTAAAAGGAATCAGAAAATTCCAAAATAACTAATGCCAAACGATGCAGGTTGTATAGAAAGTACAATAAAACCTAGTGCTTCAACTTTGATGCAAATATTTTGAGTGTGCCACCGCCCAAACCAGTAGATATTGACTTGGAATGTGATAACCAGCAAGACTTTATTCGTTTACATCTTATCCTTCCTCTAATAACGCAAAGACAGATTTATGCCTTAAATAATTGCAATTGTGTCCTGTACACAACCCTCCCAATTTTTTTTACCTGCAACGTTTGGTTAACTCATTGCTGTTGGTTGATGCAGAGAGGAGGCAAAAAACTGTCAGTTGGCTTAATGATATTGTGTATGTGGCATTTTGGAATGCTTGACAGACCTTGTGCAATTTATGTATTTCTGTTTGTTATATTCTTTGCTGCATACCACATTACAGTATATGGAGATAATAATTCTGCCAATTTTGACGGATTGATGATCTGTCAAAATTGTCAAAGGATATGTCTTCTCTCAAACTGATGCTATGTACGAACAAAGATCCTATAGACCAGAATTTTATTCCTGGAGTTTACAGAATACCCGTACAAGACGAGAGGCAGCAAAAAGAACTATACTACATTGGAGCTACAAGGAGGTCATTAAAAGAAAGAATAAAAGAACACAAAAGGAACGTACAGAAGGAGCAATCCGTCACAGGTTTAGCAACATATGTTATAGCAGACCCAACAGAAGTATCAGTGAAATGGGAAAGAGCAGAAATAATACATAAGGTGCAAGATAGGAGACATATTAAATATGCAGAAGCCTGGCATATTTATAAGAGTAGTCTAGCAGGACAGGTTATAAACTTCAAAGAATCATATAAAGTATCTGCAGCATGGAGAGCAGATGCATTATGAACGTATCAGCATAAAGAAAAAAGCATGGACAGACATTAGTAGAAGCCAGTTATATCATCTATTTATTTATTATTATTAATTTGTATTTTTGTGTGTTAGTGTATGCGTACATTTGTACATTATTAATCTGTGGATTCTATTTATTTATTTTAGGATTTGGGCAATAAGCGCTGANCAATTAGTTATGATGAAACCAGCAATGTGGAAAGTAAGAAAGAGTTACAGATAATGATTAGGTTTTGGTCTGAGCAAAAAGAACAAGTTGTCTGCAGACACCTAAATACATGTTTTCTTGGACGGGCAGATGCAGAAACACTGCATACATACATTATCAAAGCTATCGATGATTCCAACCTGTCACTACACAAACTTTTGATGATAGGATTCTAATCAGAAACTAACAGAACAGGACACATGTTCTGTTAGTTTGGCCTGTTGGAATCCTAAATACTTTTAGAATATTGAATCTTCCATAGATTCAATAATGTCTCCATTTCCAAGTTCTTCTTTCTTCAGGACTCCTTTTTCTATGTGAAGTGTTTTGCATTTGTCTAGGCCAAACTCCATTTGTATGTCCTTGGAGTATGAATGTGTGATTTGTGGGAGTTGATAAAGTTGTTTTTGTGTGGATAAATAAAATTTTATGCTGTCTATGTATATGAGATGTGACAGCGTAAACTGTGTTGTTTTTTCATGTCTGATATTGTAACTATATTGCTTGTTGTTTAACATGTTAGATAATGGGTTCAGGGCTAGGCAGAACCAGAGAGGACTCAGGGAATCTCCTTGAAAAATTCCTCACCTAATGAATATTTCATTTGTTTGTATGGAAGTGTTATGAGTCCTGAGATGTAGGTTGTTCTCCAGTGCTGCATAGTGTTTTGGAAGAATGCAATGAGTGATGGGTGTATTTTGTATGTGTGTAGAATATATAGCAGCCAACTGCTATATATTCTACACACTGTATCACAAAGTGTGTGGAACACTGTCGAATGCTTTTCTGTAGTCTATATATGCCATGTATATGTTTCTATGTTGTTTGTGGAATGACTGAATCTATGAGTAACTGTTCTTTGCATCCCCTGTTATTACTACAGCAACCTTTTTGTTGTTCCGTAAGAATGTCGTGTTCTTCATGTTTGTATATTTTCTTTGTGATACAGGCTGTCAATAATTTGTAGTGTGTTGGGAGACATGTAATTGGTCTGTATTGTGTGGTGTCTGTGGTTTTTAGGTTTCATGTAAGTGATGCCCTGAGTAAGAAATTTTGGCATGTCTTGTGGATTGATGATGTGTGTTAGATGTTTAGCTAGTTCCTGGTGCAGCAATATAAACTTTTTGTACCAGAAATTATGAATGTCTTCTACACCAGGTGTCTTCCAGTTGTGTGTTCTGTTAACGGCGTAGCGGATGTCGTGTATGTTTATTTCAGCACAGGGGATAGTTGGTATGTTGTGCAAGTTTCCCTTCTCCTCCTTGATCCAGCCTGCATCAGCATTGTATGTAACTGCACTGGACCAAAGAGAAGACCAATAATTTGAGAGTTCTTCTGTTGGTGTGCCACTATGCTGCGTATCAGTGTCTGTAGAAAAGCTTTTCATTGTTTGTGAACAATTTATTTTGTTGTTTTCGTAGCGTACATTGTTTTGTATCGTTTGATTCTATGTGCTTTGGCTGTGAGTTTCTGTTTTAGTGTATCAATGAATTCTGTAATGTGTGTGTTTTGATTTTCTTGAAAATGTTTTTGAGTTGTTTCTTTAATTTGTGTGTTATGTTGTTTTTAGTGTATTGTGTCAGCCTGCCTAATTGCTGTCTGATGTCATTTATTTGTGTTTCTATTCTTCTCTGCCAGGCAGGCTTGTGATAGATTTGTGTTCTGTGTGTATCTGTCTGTGATTGTATTTTCAGTCCATGTGTGTCACTACTGTGACTGCCCCAGCATAAACTAGTGTATGAATGTCTGAGAGTGTAGAAATTGAATGGATGTAGTGTGGTAGTAAGCGAATGTTTACATAATTTAGTGTTTTCTCTACTACCTTTGATGTGTTGATTTTTGGTATTTGTGGTCTTTGTGTGGGATCTGTGCCTGTGTATATAGTGAATGTGTCCTGAAATAAAAGTGAGAGCGTATTAACTAAATCTATGTCTATGTTATTAGTGGTGGATGAGGAAGTGTTTGTATTATCATTAGTGGTAGTTGATGTATGTGTACTATAATCAGTGCTTGTTGCTGGATTATCCTGACAGGTTACATGATCTTCATTAATGTTAAATGTTTCTGTCTGTTGATGTATTTGATCAGCAACCTGTTGTTTGATAAGTTCAGCAGCAATTCCTAACCTGGGGTAAGCAATAGGTTGTTTAGGGGTATAGAAAAAAGTTAATTATTATGGCAGAAAAAATGATATATTATGTATCCCAAATTAATAGCATTAAAAAATTATTAGGTAAAAAATGTTCCTTGCAACAGTCACAAACTTTATTATACATTTCAAAATGAAAAAATAGAAATAAAAACTTATGCTGCCAATTGTACAATGCAACAGATCAATAAATGTTGCGCAGTCGGTCAATGGTAGTGGGGATACCACTGTGTGATTAGTGATTATGCTATGGACTTTTGATGGTGGGGTGTGTTACTGTTGTTATTGTTATCTCTGAACAATATCCATNTTATTTTAGGATTTGGGCAATAAGCGCTGAGAAAGCATTTAAAGTTAAAACGTTCTATAATCAGTTTTGTTTGTTTGATCCTGATGAAGGTCAATTAATTTGATTGAAAACGTTAGATTACATTAATAA